GACAGGGTCTCCTTGCAGCCCTGCTGACCTGGAACTCAACTATGTAGACCAGGCTGGCCTTGATCTCACAGAGATTCGCCTGCCTCTGCCTGCCAAGTGCTAGGGTTAAAGGTGTGTGCTCCCATGTACTTTTGAATCTATCTTTAACATAGTTCTTTTACTCTTTTTGTTGCATTGGCACTTTCCTTGATGTGGCTTGAAACTTTCTGGTCTTACATTGCTGTAGAAACCCTCACTAGTCTTCCTGTCTCTGTAATCTCCCCTATGCATTCCTTGTGTTGTGTGATTCCATGCTTCGAACCTGGGATTTCTGGAACTCCATAGCACATAAGCAGTAATATCTTCTCTTATCCTTCATTTAGATTAGTGAGGATTGAGTTACAAGCTCCTTTCACTCCCAAATTGTCTTCGATATTCAAGAGGCCCTTGCTGCCATATTTAGTGCTATAGTGCTTATCAGTTTGCCTCTAAATAAACCATTTTGATTGCATTTTATTTTTTGGTGTGTGCATATGCACGTATGTGTGTGTGTATGTACATATGGAAGCCTGAGGATGATGTCAAGTGTCTTCTTCAATTGCTCTCCAAATTTAATATTTTATTTATTTATTTACATTTTTTTTCTTTTGAGAAAGGGTCTCCCTGTAGCCCCAGCTGTCCTGGAACTCACTATGTAGACCAGGCTGGCCTTGAACTCAAGAGATCCACCTGCCTCTGCCTCCTGGGTGCTGGGATCAAAGGCGTGAGCCACCACACCCAACCTTATTTAAATTTTAAAAAAGATTTATTTATTTTTATTTGATACGCAGGAGTGTTTTGTCTGTATGTATTTAAATGTACCATGTGTGTGCCTGGTGCCCATAGAAGCCAGAGGAGGGTATTGGATTCCCTGGAACTGGAACCATGTGGATGCTGGGAACTGAATCCTGGTCCTCTGCAAGAGCAGCCAGTGCTCTTAACTGCTGAGCATCTCTCCAGCCCCCTCTACCTTATTTTTTTTGAGAGAATCTCTAAAGCTGGAGCTCACTGATCAGCTAGACTGGCTGGCCATCAAGCCCCAGGGATCCAGCTGACTCTGCCTGCCCAGCGCTGGGATTATAGGTGTGCACTGCCATGCCTGACTTTTATGTGGAGATCTAGACTCAGGTTCTCATGTTTGTTCAGCAACCACTTTACTGACTGAGCCATCTCCCCAGCCCCACTAAAAATTAAACCAAAATAATAACTTATAAAAATTTATTATTATTTTTATTTCTATGTGTATGACTGTATTGTCTGCATGTAAATACACCCATGTTGTGCAGTGCCTGTGGAGGTCACAAAAAGGGTGTTGAATTCCCCTGAAACTGGAGTTATAGACAACTGTTATGTGACTGCTGGGAATCAAACCTGGGTCCTCTATAGGAGCAAGAGCAGCCAGTGTTCTTGACTGCTAAGCCATCTCTCCAGTCCCAAACCAAAATGATTCTATGCTTCACTGATAATAGACATTCTAGAAAACACAAATTGTTTAATATCATGGTTCAGCAAACTTTCTCTGTAAAGAAACAAACAGCAACCATTTTAGAGTATGGGCCAGATGGGCTCCATCACAGCTACTTGGCTATGTGGTTGGAGAACAAAGGCAGACATGCAGCAGACATAAATGGATGGGTGTGGATGAGTTTCAGCAAAACCCTGGACACTGAATTTGAATTAGATGTATTTTTATTTGTCATGAAATATGTACCTTTAAATTTTTTCAATATATATTTTTACTGAAATTTTGTGCATTTCATACAGCCTAATCATATTTAGACCCCCTCCCCCATTGGTATTCCCCCCATAGCATGCCCATCAGATTTCATGCATTCTGTCATATATATTAAGGTCCATTGAGTCAAATTTGTGTCTCTAGATGTCCTGCAGTGTGAGTTCAGACACTGGAGCCTGATCAGCCTATCTAGCTTCACCCGCTTAAAGAAGACCAACTCCTCCCTCACCTAGCGGTGATCAACTGCTAATAGTTCCCTGGTGAAGGTTGGGGCCTCCTGTTCATTTCCCTAGTTCTGTGCTAGATTTTTGTCTGATTGAGTTTGCCTGGGTCTTCTGCATACTGTCACCATTGCTGTAAGTTCATATGAGCAAGTTCCCAGACCTGGGAAGGCTCTTTTTCCTTATGGTCATTCACTACCCCTGGCTCTTACAATCTTTCCTCCTCCTCTTCTGCAATGGTCCATGAGCCCTGGCTGGGTGAGGTTTAATATAGGAGTCCTATCCAGGGGCACACATTCTGCAGTCCCTTATTATCTACACTTTGGGCAGTTTTATGGCCTTCTGTGTTCACTGCCATCTGTTGCATGAGGAAGAATTCGCTGGTGAGAGTTGAGAGATGCATTAGTATTTGCTCTACCGTTCGTTCCACTATCTTTCATGAGCCTTAGGTGTAGAGGTTCTATTGTAGATGTGTCACTTAGGGTTGGGCATCTCACAGATGGTGATTCTCTGTGTGTGACCAGTTGTGGAACTCTGTAATGGTCTCTATCTGTTGCACAAAGAAGCTTCTTTAATGAGTGGTAACAGGCATACTTGTTGGTAAATATAAGGATCCATATTTAGCATAGAGTAAGAAATTTCATTTGTCTAAGGGATGTGACAGATATAGGGTTTTCTCTAGGATCTATGTCCCATCTAGCCATGCGTATTTGGCTATGTTGACAGTACCACACCTGAGTTCCCTCCCTGTGAGAGGGTTTTAAGTCCAATTAGGTAGCTATTGATTATCCCCAAGATGAAAGTGCCACTACTGCACTGCTATAGTTTGTGCTGGTCATTGTAGTGGTTATTAGGCTTTAAGGCTGCGATTGGATCTTCTTTTAGTTTTTTAAGCCACATTTATAGAAGTTTTAAGTTTTAAGTTTTAAGCCACATTTGTAGAAGTTCCATGAACTGAATAAAAATAAGCTTCAGATTCAGTTTGGTCTTCAGGCCATAGTTTGTCAACTCTTAGTTTAAATCATATCTGTGCCACATTTCTTTCTTGAACTATGGTAATTCTGATTTGAGTGTGAGTTGTGCAGTACTGAAAAATTGCTTTGCTGGAATTATGTCCTGGAGTGCTTTTAAGAGCGGAACATTTTAAAATAAGTTTGAGTCTGGAAGGAAAGAAATATGTTAGGATTTCATATTGGGATTTTCTTTTTCTTTTTTTTTGAGACAAAGTCTCATGTCCTTTAACGTCAGCCTTGAACTCCAGTCCTCTTGCTCAGCCTCCTTAGTGTGGGTACCTGTTAAAATTTATAGTAAAATACTTTATGACTGCGTAGAAGAAGTTAGTGATCAGAACTGGGTATGGCAATATGTACCTGTAGTCCCAGCTACTGGAAAGCTGAGACAGGAGGATTACTTGAGGCCAGGAGTTTGGGGTCAGCCTGTACAAGACAGAGAGAACTTCATCTCTGTTTTTAAAGTTTTCTTTATAACATTTCTGTGCGTGTTTGTATATATGTATGGGTGTGCTGCCATGGAACATGTATGGAAGTCAGAGGACAACTTTCTGGAGTTACTTCTTTCCTTCTACAATGTGGATCTTGGGGCTGGAACTTGGGTCATTAGGCTTGGTGTCAGGTGCCTTTACCCGGTGAGGCCTCCAACCTTCAATAAAGAATTAAAAAGAATGTAGAAATTAAAGCACATGAAGGGCCTTGTTAATAGAATATGGATAGTCTTAAGATGAAGATTGCTAATTTGTTGTATTGTGTTGCTAAAAAGGGAAAGTCCATACAACACATTGCTTAAATGTATTTTGAAGTTACTGCCTTCCTTCTCAGCTACTCTAAAGAATGAGGCCTAACTTTCAGAGTTAAGGAATATGGGCGACTAAAGGATAAGTAAGAATTATATTGATGTGGAACTGAGAAGGATGGAAAGAATGTAAAGACTATACTCATGTGTGAAATTCTCAGAAAAATTAATTAGAAAGGAATTGTACTGACAAAATTTCCTCTTTCAACTCAGATATTTCAAACTGTTATGTCACATTAAATCCATTGACTGTGTGCAGGCTGCAGCAGTATTTGGCTAGTTAGCAAACCATGTCCAATCCAGTGTGGTGTGTTCAGTCATTATAGGTAGGACGCAGATATTTTTCTCAAATAAGTCTCTGGCACAATTCTCACAGCAACTTAAATCAAAAGAAGTTAACAAAACTATAGTTATCCATTTGGGAAGGATAAAAATAGATATAAATGCAAATATTTGCGTGCATATACATGATAGTGTTTGTGGTGGCATCACCTTTTGGTTTATGGACATAAAGGTATTCTGTATGTTTTTTTAAAAAAAGTTTCTGGGATGGAATTCAGGGTCTTTCCCATGCCAGGGAAGTGTACACTGGTCTCCAATGCAGGTCTACTTTGATCTGTCATTTTAAATTTTAGATTGAAATTTTAGACTAAATTCTATATTCCCCCAAAGCTATTATTTAATTTTGAGACAGGGTCTCGCCATGTAGCCCTGGCTAGTCTGGAAATCTCTATGTAAACCAGGCTGGTCCCTGCCTCAGCCTCCCAAGTGCTGGGATTAAAGGCATGTGCCACCATGCCAGGCTAGAAAATTATTTATTTACTTTTTTAAAAGTATTTTTTTTATTTTATGTGTATGAGTGTATTACCTGCATGTAAGTGAGTGCACCCATGTTATGCAATGCCACAGAAGTCAGAAGAGGGCTTCTGGTTCCCCTGGAACTAGCGTTAAGGATGGTTCATAGCTGCCATGTGGGCGCTGGAAATCAAACCTGGGTCCTCTGCAAGAGCAGTCAGTGCTCTTAACCACTGAGCCATCTCTCCAGCCCCTAAAAGTTATTTTTTAACTAACAAATGAAGAACCAGTTCTCTAGAATTCATAGTTCACTGACCACTGAGTTAGTAAAGTAAGTTTTAAAAACATCAAATGGTATTTGATAAATGACTTTAAAATATTAAATTCGTTCCTCTAAAGTCTCATTTGCAATTGCTTTTCAGGGTGATGATGATGCTTACTTATGTATTCGTGAGGATCAGACTGTGCATATACGACCATCCTATTTGACAGGGCGAAGTTATCCTGTGATGGAATCAAGGGTAAGTGTGAACATGCTGGGAACCTATCTTGTTAGTCTACCTTCCTTCCATGTGGCCACCAGTGGTGTGGCTGTGCAAGTGAGTCTGTAGCCTCTGCAGTTAGCAGTAGTCTGGGCAGGAACCCGGTGACAGAATTCCTCTCAGAATGATCCGTAAGAAACTTCTCTGTCCTCTAGAAAACACAAGACACATTTCTTTTGTAGGCAAAGACTAGTTCTTTTTTTTTTTTTAATTTGGACTGGAGAGATGACTTAGCAGTTAAGAGCACTGGCTGCTCTTGTAGAGGACCTGGGTTTAATTCCTAGCACCCACATGGCGGCTGACAACCACCCCTAACTCCAGTTCCAGGGGATTCTGACACTCTTTTCCAACTTCCTTGGGGATTGTGTGACACAGGTGCAGGCAATACACTCATACACATAAAATAAAAATAGTAAATAAAATGTTAAAAAATTATTTTTACTTATGTGTACGTGTGTGCATCTATGTGTGCATATGCCATGTGTGTGGAATTCTAGGTGGTTGTGAACTGCCTGAAATGGGTGCTGGGAACTGAACTTGGGTCCTTTGGAAGAGCAGCAAATGCTCTCAACTGCTAAGCCATCCCTTCAGCCCCAGAAAAAACTGATTCCTATTTAAGTCACTTAAATCCTTTTTGTTGCCTCGTATGAAAAAGTATTTCATGGCTTAGTAACATGATTTGAGCATAGGGCATGTTTTTAAGAAGAGTCTTTAGATAGAGTACTGGCCTAGCATGGATGAAGCCCTGGGTTGGATTCCCAGCATCACACAACTAGGTGTGGTAGTGCATGCCTAGAACCCCAGCATTTTGGAGGGGTTGGAGGGGTGGAGGCGGGAGGATGAGAGGGTCAAAATCATCCAAAATGAGTTTGAGGCCAATCTCGGCTACATGAGGCCTTGTCTCAAAAACAGACAACTAGTCAGTCAAACAAACACAATACTGTTAGTGACAGAGTGTTTCTTGGTTACCAAGAGGGATGAACACATGGTAATGACCGGTGCCTTAGGTGGCTATCTTGTGGGTACTGGTGCCATGTTGGCATGTTTGCCCAAAGCAGACCATTTTTTATTCTCGCAGGACAGTTGACAAAGTTCTGGCTGGGCCGCTGACTTCCCTTCAAGATGCCACTGTGCCTAGCTTTCCCAGTGGGCTTCCTCAGTGGGTCTGGAACTCCTCCCCAGTTGCATGTTGCATGCTGGCCACCAGGACATTACTTGTTAATTGTTTCTTCAGCATGTCTGTTTGTGTGCTGGTGGTCAGACAGAGTTAGTACATCTACCAAATTTTCTAGCCTGGGTAGAGGAACTGTGAGATTCTGGCTCAAAGTAAAAAGTAATCTTTGCCAACTGGCATAAAGGTAAACTGGAAGAAAGAGAAAATTTGTATTCTTCAAAGGGGAAGTGGAAAAATAAGGACACTGTGGACAAACCCTCAGACACTACCTTGGAAAAGGGAAATTGAACAGGTCAGGATTTTGATCATGTCTTATTTTTAGCAAATCTTCAGAAACTACTGAAGGATGCAATATGTGTATTGTAGGGGAGTCTTGGGGATATGGCTTGGAGGCTCTCTGATGGCATCATACAGTGTTCTTTCAGAAGAAACATCACCCTTCCTGGGGTTAAGAATAGGTTTGCTCTAAACGCAAGCTACTATGTATTTCTAGCAGATGGTGCAGCACATGACGGTGAGTATGTTAAAAATTTGCCTTTTCATGCTTTTGTATTTCCCTTCTTGCCTTTCCCTGCCCTTTGTAGACTGCTCTAATGCTCACTTTAAGATATGCACTTGTGGTTAAGGCATTCTAAACTTTTTCCTCTTTGCCTGAAAATTTGACTTTAAGTTGACTTTCTGGCTTTGTTTCTCTGAAAACGGAAGTATCAACTAGGTTACAAGGCAGTGTTGCCCAGGACCCAAATGGCCTCTGCTTTGTAAAATAAATTTGGACCAGAAGAACAGTAAACGCCTTACAAGGAACTATATCTTTGGGCTTTGCTGAATGTGGTGGTGTGTGTGTCACATGCAGGGATCATATGAACACTGCCTTTGGGGTGGGTGCCAGCAATACCAGCTCTAGTGGGAAATCTATCCAATTTGAGTCTGGTCTCCTTAGACCTGAGCTTCTCTTTATGGTGGGAATGAGGTAAAGTGAACAGTGCCTCACAGATGTAGTGGTGTATCAATGTCTTCTGCTGATGTGGTGTGTTTCCTGTTATGCATCTTTGAAACTGATGCCATGTGATCCCAATATACTAATATATCCTAATATAGGAATTTGAATGTTTAGTTTATTCTTTTTTTAAAAATTTATATTTTATGTATATGAGTGTATTGCCTGAATGTGTATAAGTGTACCTATGCTGTGCAATGCCTGAGGAGGTCAGAAGAAGGCATCAAATCCCCTGGAACTGGAGTTATGGATGGTTGTTAGCTGCCATGTGAGTGCTGAGAACTGAACCCGGGTCCTCTGAAAGAGCAGCCAGTGCTCTTAACCACTGAGCCATCTATCCAGCCTCTGCTTAGTTTATTCTTTAAGAGTACCCTGGTAGGTTTTACAACATGTGAAGTAGGAATCACTAGGTTTCACTGAAGGATTTGGCTAATGATGCTTGAGGAGCCGCAAGGAAATCCCAGTGTAGTGTTTAATAACTCACCTCTCTGCAGCTGACATTGCCACTTGACCTTGAGCTTGCAGCCTCCTTTAAAGTGGTAAGAAAGTGAGTGTGCAGAATGGAGAGTGGGTGGGGAGTGGGGATGGAGGCCAAACAGGAAATATGGTGCAGACAGATTGTGGGATGCTTTGGCTTCTATTTAGTTATTATTGATTTTGTGTGTATGAGTATTTTGCTTGCATGCAAGTATACCATGATGTACAATGTCTGTGGAGGGCAGAAGAGGGTGATAGATTCCCTGGAACTAGAGTTTGGACGGATGTTAGCTGCCATGTGGGTGTTGGGAACCAAATCAGGATCCTCTGCAAGAGTAACCAATGCTTTTAACTGCTGAGCCATCCCTCTAGCCCCAGCTTTGATTTCTTATCATGTGGTGTAGGCTTTCTCTTATTAGTAAGACACAGCCTCCAAAAGCTTGAAGGAACTTGTGTCGATGAGTTTTAAGTGATATGTCTAGTTATCTTTGTTAAATCTTGCATTCTTTTTTAAAAAAAATATTTTATTACTTTTATGTGTATGTATATGTGTGTATTGCTTGCTATTGCTTGCGTGTAGGTAAGTGCACTCATGTTGTGCAACGCTCTCGGAGGACAGAAGAGGCCGTCAGATCCCTTGGAACTGGAGTTATGGACAGTTGTTAGCTGTCATGTGGGTGCTGGGATTCCAACGGGTCGTGCACCCGTGACCTGCAATGCCTGCAGAAGCCAGAAGAGGCCGTCAGATCCCTTGGAACTGGAGTTATGGACAGTTGTTAGCTGTCATGTGGGTGCTGGGATTCCAACCTGGGTCTTCTGCAAGAACAACCAGTGTTCTTAACCGCTGAGCCATCTCTCCAGCCCCAAATCCTGCATTCTTATTTACATCATCAGCAGCAAATGGGGCTGGAAAAATTCTTGAATAAGTGATAACAGACAAAAATCCCTCAATGTTTATGGAGTGCCAGTCAGTGGCAAGTCATTTTGTGTAATTCCTCATTTTTACCTTCATGAGAAGCAAACCAGACACGTTTCACTGTTTTTGTCTAGGCGGGTCTCCTTCAAAACGAGGTCAAGTAAATTGTCCAAACAAGTAAATAATAGAGTTCAATACATTAGAACATGGAAAATATAGAAAATTAATCTTTGTGTGTGTGTGTTTGTTTGAAACAGGGTCACTGTGTTGCCTTGGCTAGCCTAGAACTTGCTATGTAGATCAGATTGGCCTTGAACTCACAGAGATCCACCTGCTTCTGGCTCCTGAGTGCTGGAATTAAAGGTGTGCACCACCACACCGGTAAAAGTTAATTCTTAATGAAGGTCAAATACCTTTGTTCTTAGAAATTCTTATTCAAGTGCAAGTCCTTGTGTGACTGTTATTGTAACTGTGGCTTTTTGCACATTAAATTAAATGAGTTTCATTTATTTCTCACAGAAACTTGATAAATGGTATTATGTGTCCCATTTTATAAAGGAGGAAACTTAAACCTAGAAAGATAAAACAACTTGTTCAAAATCAAACAAGGAGCAGCGTCAGGAATACTAAGATCTCCACCACAAACACGGTCCCTGTCCATCACTCAAACTCTTCCTCTGATGCTCAGCATGCTGTAGATGCTTCTACATGCTTTGGACTCAAATGGGTTTATTTTGTTTTGTTTTGTTTTCTGAGACAGAATCTCACTATGCAGCCCTGTGTGGCCTGGACTGGCCTCAAACTCACAGAGATCTATGTGCCTCTGCCTCCTTAGCGCTGGGATTAAAGGTGTGTGTCACCATGCCCCACTTCAAATGGATTTTGTTTTTAATTGCCATGGAGATTTAACAGTTAGGCTGCATAATTTTAAGGTTTGTTTTAATCAATTTTTTAGTAGTGTATATTCATCATGTACAGTGCTTAGTTTCAGAGAGACAGCTTGAATTATTCACATTTATCGTGTACTTTGACCATATTTACCCCCTGTTGCCCTGTCTTGTCTCTCACTTTCTCCTTGCCACTAGACTCCTTTTCCCAAATAGCTCTCCTTCTGCTGTCATCACACACACGCACACGCAGCACACGATCTAGGATCTACATGTAAGATGTCGTTCTGAGGCAGGGTTATTTCACTCAATATGATCTCTACTTGCATCTTTTTTTTTTTTTTTTGTCTTTTTGAGACAGGGTCTCCCTGTAGCCCCAGCTGTTCTGGAACTCACTATGTAGACCAGGCTGGCCTTGAACTCACAGAGATCCGCCTGCCTCTGCCTCCCGAGTGCTGGGACTAACGGTGTGCGCCACCACGCCTGGCTTCCATCCATTTTTATGCTTCAAATTTTATATTTTCAAAGAAAAGCAATTTCAGTGGAAGAATCTTCTTGCGTAATACAGTGTGTGTGTGTGTGTGTGTGTGTGTGTGTGTGCATTGTTTTGTGCATACATGGTGTATGGCAGAGCCTACATTTTCCTCATAACGCAACACTGTAGAAGTCGGAACATATTTTCTGGTAGTAACAATGTCTTAAGTGACAATTCTAACACTTCAGAAAAACCTAGTGATGGCTGTTACCACCATCTATGAAGAACAGAGCAAGTTATGTCTCCTTTCTGCTTCTGTGGCTGTGCGGGTGGCTTGCCAGGGAGAATCTCTCTGCCTTGCCTTTTGGGGTGTCAAAGAATGAGACATAAACACCCTGCATCTGAGTCCCTGGAGTGACTGCTAAAGATGCAGGTTCCTGAACTTCATCCCAGATCCTCCAAATTGCTATTGTCGGTGTTTAGAATCTGCATCTTACTAAGCATCCTGGTGACTGAATATTTGCTGGGGTTTGGTAGTTTGATACCTGCTTTAGGAGGCGCACAAATCAGAAGGCAGTCCAGGGGGTTCAAGTACAGCATTAGCACTTTCTTATCATTATTTAAAAGTTTTCCATTTTAGGGTGGAGGGGGGCTGTAGCTCAGTGGTGGAGTGTACCTAGCTCGAGTTAACACCCTGCTTCTACCCCCTACCCCATACCAACCTCACAAAAATTTCATTTTAGGACTGGAGAGATGGCTCAGCGGTTAAGAGCGCTGGCTGCTCTTGCAGAGGTCCTGGGTTTGATTTCCAGCACCACATTGTGGCTAACAACCATTATAACTCCGGTTCCAGGATGGGCATTGCGTGACACGGGTGCACCTCCCTACATGCAGGCAACATACTCATACACATAAAATAAAAATAACAATGAAAATCTATTAAAAATTCCATTTTAATATATTTTACAGTGTACAAGATATAGTAAAACACTACATGAATTTATTTATTAAAATATACATGTAGTTGAGGCACATGCTTATTTTTTTTCAAACCAATAAATAGACTACAGAGCAAATAAAACAAGAAATCTTTACTCTTAAAAATGGAGATTGTTGCGCCATTAACTAGAATTAATTTTCTAGTTCTTTTGTACTAGGGGACAGTGGACAGCTGCTATGTAGATAATTGTCTCTTTTGTTCCTGGACAGTGTGTAATGTGGGCCATGTGTAAGTTGAGTTGTGTTCCAAACAGGGAAGCGTAATAATACAAACCATTTTGGAAAGCAATCAAATGATCTGTTTATACCCAGTTTTAGTAAAATTTTATAAAGATCTATCTATTATTGAAAGCCTTTAAAAATTGAATATATGGTCAAATTTTATTTTTAATGGTTATGTACTTTCTAGAGTTTTAGTGTATGTTAATTAATTTATTTTTATTAATATATTTTGTTCTTTCATAATTCATATATGTGTTTTGTTCCCTGTCTCCCATCCTTCTGCCACATCCCTTTCACCCCTACTAGTCCCCCACCCCTCATACATCTCTTTCCCCTGTTTACTAGCTTTGTTTTTTTTTTCAGGGTAACACAGAGTTTGGAACTCAGGGCCCTCTGTTCAACCCTGAGTTTGGAACTAACCACCAGAACCTAGTGAGTTCACCAGTGGGTACATAGCTGGACACCATGCCTCCTCCCACTCAGAATCTGTCAGTTGCCAACAGATTAGCAGCATGTGGGAGGGCCCTGTTGGTCCTTCTGC